CCAGCCCGCCATTGCACAAGCACCAGCAGCGCTTGGCTTATGAGTGCAGGCCCAATCAAAGGCCAAGGCTGTCAACGCGGCATGCCTTGAGGCCCAAGTTTGAGGGTGTGTGCCGTGCTCATGGGGATGGTGTGAGTTGGTGGTTTTTCTTGCTCCCCAAGGGAAAGGGTTTGTGGTCCATACCTAACCCCTCCCTTTCATTGCCACTTGTCATTTACTTATTATTTATGCTATTTAATTTAATTTAGAATTAAATTAATTGCTTACTTTTTCTCACTTATCAATTCTCCCACATGGAAATATGATTGAAGTTTTTGGGAGCCTTTGCCTATAAATACCAACCTTGGGAGTTGGGATTATTCACTTGGGTTGAACTCATTAAGGTATCTCCCAAAAGCATGAGTTAGCCTTTAATTTCGTAATACTCTAGTTTATTTTGGTCTAGCCTCGTCTAAGCTACGAGGTAGAGACCCGTTCGTGAAAGGATTAGTGTCCTTCGAACAAGTGTATTATTCCGATAGAGGGTTCAGAATTAATTAGAAAGCTAATTATTCAATGAGGTCAAGTGTCGGAATGCTTAGCTCGAGGTCGTTTCCGATCAGTAATATTAATGAATAATTAATATTACACCTTAATCTTGACTGAACCCTTCGGGTCACACCCAATCGTGTAACCGAACCAAAGCGACAAATTAATCCGAAGGATCAAATGAGTCAATAGAGTTTTTACGAACAAAGATGTCGGATTCCGAGCTTAGAGCGTCGAAACTGAGCGTTGTAAGTCGAGTCGAATTTAGGAAACGACAAGACGGAAAAATCTGTCGAATTTTGTAAGTCACAATGTATAGCCCTAGCCTCGGAATGGCCGAGCCATCCGAGGGCCAGGGCAATATGGCTTGCAAAGGCTGCCAGCATCCGAGGCATGGCCACAAGCCTTACCGCAGCATGCCGAGCTAGCTAGCAGCTAAGCATCACATGCTAGCATTGCTGGCGCGCGAGGTGTGCTAACATGATAGCAGCGTAGGCACTTGCACAAGCAACACATCAGCAGCACGCAAGCTAGGCTTATGGTAGGAGTGCCCAACAGCACCCAGCAGCTCGCAATGATGCGAGGCATGTTGGTGCGGGCTGCCAACGCATGCGATCGTGGTAGGCCCAACCAAGGGGCCAGGTCGCCAGCGAGGCGGCCTTGGCGCCCAAGGCAGGCCACGCCAACAGGCGCGCTGCGAGTGGCCGTGTGTTTGGGAGGCGTTTTGTGGGTTTGCTTGGGGTGAAAGGGGAAGGTGGTCCTCCCCTTGTGGTCCTCTCCTAACCCCTTGCTCTCCTCATACCACTTGTCATTTGGTGATTCATTTGGCCTTTTAATTAATTTGGGATTAAATTAAATCCTATTTTGCCTTTTTACCAACTATTCCACATTGAAAGATGATGGGATTTCAAAGGCACTATTCCCTATAAATACCAATCATTTGGCATTTGGGAAAGGAACTTGAGTTGGTGAACTTTAAGGGATCTCCAAAGTGAGAAAACCTTTGTTCTAATAACTCTAAGTTTTTTTTTGGTCTAGTCCCGACTAAGCTTTGGGGTAAGGACCGGTTTGGTCCGGTAGCGAGCGTGTGAGCCGTCGGAGGTTCTCGTACTTGCGGAACTTGAAGATTTCAAGTTTGAGCTCAACGGTTGAGCGAAGCACGGTATAAGGGTGAGCATTCTTTCTCTCTCTTCTCTTATGTTTATGTTTATTTTGTATGCTTTTGTTTATGTTGTAATTATTATGCATGCGATCCCCAGTCATCGGGTTTTGTTCCGCGCGGTGTCGGACACCGCAAAACCCAACAACGGTATAAGAGCCTCTTGCATTTAATTTTTTCAACTAAAAATTAATTAAGGTGATTTAAAATGGATTTAAATTTCTGGTTTAGCATCCTAATTAGATTAGGATCTCGTTTTTAATTGGATTAAAATCATATTTATGCTGATTTTGGATTACTAACTTTGATTTTGACTCAAAAATAGTGAATTTTGGGTGGAATTGAGGTTCTATATCAGACTTTGTGGTTAAAAATGGCATTCCAGAAGCCAAAATCCACCCAGAAAGTGGTTTTTCGTTTTTAACGAAATTTTTCAAATCTTTAAACCTTGATTATGGCATGCAATTGTTGGATTATGTGTTTGATTATACCATTAATCTTCTTTAATTTTAACCCTTATTAAGCATGTTTATGAAGTCATAGTTGGTGCTTAATTTGGTTAGCTCTTATTTTTACATAAACTTGCAATTTCACATTTTGCAAATTAATTGCTTGGAGTGTGAATGTTTATGGTGAAAATGTATTTTTGAAGCCCCTAGAATGTTAAAGATTCAATCTTTAATTGTTTATTTTGTTGGATCTTATCTTTCTAAATTCCATAATGAACTAATTTTTAGTTTTAATCAATTTTGAGTTGATTAAAGTCTTAAATGTTCAAACTTGTGATTAAAATTGATTACTCTTCATGTTGGAAGAATGTAATTTTTCAAATTTGCACAAGTTAGTGTTGGAGAAATTTTTCATTGGATGATTATGTTTATTTTTCCAACTCCTTTTGTCAATTCTCATTGTAATTTATGTTGGTTAAATTAATTGTGAGAATAGCTCCATTTTTGTAGCATCAAGTTGATCCAAAAATAATTTAAAGAATGATTCTTGAATTAATTTTGGTTTGTGCACTAAAATTTAATTTATTTAAGTTGGACTTCTTTATTTTCATATTGCTCAATATTGGTTCTAAAAATAATATAGAATTAATTTTTTATGTCACATAAAAATCGGAATAAAATTCCTAGGCACAAGCACGCAAATTGAGGCACGAAGCCTCGAGCATAACTCTTAGCCAGCTGGGTTGCTTGCGCAGCCCGCATGTGGCTGCCAAGAGTGCGCGGCGTGCTAGTGCATTGGTGTGTGCAAGCAGCTCCCTTGGTGCAGCAGCTTGGTGCAAAGTAGGCTTGCGTGTGGTGCGGTATGCGGCTGCTAGGCAGCATGAGCCCGCACAGCAGCATGGCTTTTGAGGCCACCACTTGTGTGCGTTGCAAGCACGCTGCTAGGGCAAGCATAATGCGCGAGCGATGCTGTCAGCCACTAATAACACGTAGCTTGGCGCAGTAGTGGTTGTGCGGGGCAGCACCCACGCATGGCAGCCCGGGGTTTGGTGCCTAGCAAGTCGAGCCTCGTGGCTTGGATACTAGGCACTCGGCCGTAAGGGGATATTAAGTCTGCAATTGTGCGGTTTTTCGTTTTATTTAAAACGAAGCTAGGCCTTGGTTTTTCCCGGCACTTGCAAAATAATTTGGCAAAATTTTGGGTTAGCCGGCTTAATTAATTTTAATTGGATTAATTTTAATTAAGTTGGATGTGGAATTTAGTGGGAGCTTCATTAATCATTTTGAGCTATTATTATTGCATTAATTCACATAATCAGATAACAATGACTAGTTTTAATTAGGCGCATTAATTGGATTAACCACCTAAGTTAGTAACTAGTTTTTGCGCTCGTTTTGAATTGTTGCTTGAATTATTTGTAAAATGCATGGGCCATTCACGTTAGTGAATGGATGAATGGAATAAATATTCTAATGCAGGTCTTACAAAATGGCAACTAGTGGGGCCCGACTAGGATAGTAAATACGGACTGCGTTCCGTTTTGTATTTTTGTAAATCTAAATATGGACTGTGTACCGTTAAGTATTTTTGTACTTAAATTATTTAGATTAGTCCTAACTTTTCCAGTAGTTGCAAAATTTGGTGGTGATGTCTCGGAGACGGCGTTCCTAAGAAGACAAAGCCAAGAGGATGCAACGAAGGCCCTTGAAGATTAGAAGGCTCAAGTTCAAGGGGTCATGCTAGTTGCCAAATGCATCTTTAATTATGCTTTATATATTATGCTTTATATATTTTGCTTATATAATTGCGATATTAGATGCATGTTTAGGATTTCAAATGTTGAATGATTAGTTTAGTTCACTTAAATCAACCAACATAGAAACCCTAAGTCCCAAAGAAAATTGAGTTAAATCTACCATTCCAAAATGACACTTACGGAACTAATGAGAATAGTAATGGGCTATGCCAAAGCAAGGCATTATTACTTTCCTAGGGAAGTAAGGTATGTTAGTGCGCTTGCCAAAGCAAGGCATCACATACACGTTAGTTTTAGTTAAACTCAACGATATCAGTAAGGAGTCCTTAGATGTCGTGGAAATGGAGATAAACGTCAAAAAATATTAGATGCGACGTTTTATCGAACCAAGAGTAGCTTAGAGCTATTAGCAATTGGATTTCTTACCTTAAAATATTAAGTGTTAAGACAAGCCAAAGCATGCTTAATCACTTTTTGATTGTTGGGGTCTTGGAATCGTTTTATTCTCGCCTAAAAGGGACAATTTTAAATGTGTGGATAAAACGCTTAATAAGATTGAAAATTTGCATGTATGCTTTAAATTTCAAACTTATTGGTTATATGAATGGTTTTTCATTGCAAATTCTTTCAATTGTAGAAAAATGTCTACAATTAACAAAAACATCTGTCCGAAACTCCCCGACAAGTTGGCTTTTAGCCTTAACTTGGTTAATTTCAAGGGATGGGAAGAGGAACTTCGGAGAACTCTACGGAATAGTTCCATGGAGTACATATTGGACACTCCCATTCCAAGCTTCTTCACTAAGGGACTCATGAGTGATGAAACTCAAGAAACTTGGTCCTTGCACTACTACAAAAAAAGCCTAAGAGACCTGCTAAAATTGGCCAAAGAGACCTCTTTAGAGGAGGTCTCTAGCTCACAGGTCTCTTTGATAAAGAGACCTGGTAAATAGAACAGATCTCTTTGTGATAAATCAGAGACCTGTTGAGTAAGATAACAGGTCTCTTTCGTTGAACTAACTCTATTAATTTTAGTAGGCAAAGAGACCTGTTTTCTTACCTAACAGGTCTCTTTGTTGTATATAAGAGATCTGTTAAGTATGATAACAGATCTTTGATGACGTGGCTTGGCTCATTAATACACTGCTATAATGTACCCATGCGGCTATGCGCCTATACCTGTATATATTTATATGTCGATGTATTTGTATAAATTAATTTATCCGCTACTACATGTTAATACTCCAAAAAAAAATTGCCATAGTTTTATTAATAATAAGCCAAGTCAACTAACAAACTTACATTCAATAAGTTTAATTTTACCATCTAAAACACTATACAAAAACTTCTACAAAACTCCATTTTTGTACAAAATTTGACGACAACCCCCTCATTAAGGAATGTCCATACGTCTTCATTCTCTTCACTAGCATCATCTTTTTAAGGCTTGAGAGCATATATAACCCACAAAGTCTTGATGGAAAGAACTGCAAGGTAAGCAACTACAAATCATAACTAAACGATCTTAATTTGTCAATTTAATAAAGGTAAGGTAATAAATATTCGATTTCTGAGTATATGCTGGATCATCTAACCTCTACAATGAAAATGCATTTATGTAAGTAAAGGCAAAGTACAATTACTTTTTTCTAAGAACAAAGAGTACAAAATTCTCTTTTTAACATTAAAGTAAGCATACATTACTCCTTAATAACTGAGATTTCAATGCAAAAAATCAACATTAAAAAAAATAGCTATATCCTAAGAGACTCAAGAGACTTATTTATAGGGAGAAAAGAACACATATAGTTCTTCAGAATTCACATTTCTTGGCCATAGAGTGTAGTAGGTCAACATATTTTTCATATTGGTAACAACTAGGGATTAATGAATAATATAAAAAAATGAGACATGAAAATGAGAAAACTTTAGTTAACAGCCCAGAATAAGCCTCATATACTTTTAATGTTTACATGGCTTTCACAAAATCAAGGGCCCACATTAATCCTAAGTGGGAATGAACTCAAGAAAATGTTTAAAGATATCAAGTTCTCAACATAGAAGCAGACTAGAGGGCTATCAGAGGATAGGTGTGCCGGTGTGGCAATGCGAAAAAGAAGAGTTTACAATCCTAGCTAGGATAAATTCTGATTGTCCCACAAAATGAAATCAAAACTAAATATAAGCTTATCTAATACCTTCTATGTTAAGTCATTTTTAAAAAAAATTAGCTAACAGCCTATTATTAACTAATTAACATGTAAAACAGAAGAATCAGAGCAGAACTAGCAACATAGCATAATATAATAATATTTATATTTCAGCTACACTCAAATATCACTGCAGGCTTGGTATTACACAAACACGGTAAAGGTATATATAATGCACCACATTAGAAACTCACATGTTTTTCCTTCCAGTTAGTAGGATTCCTTGGTTCTTGACAGCAGTTTACCTTTGCTGGCCCATGGTGATCTGCAATGAATAATACAACACATCATGAACATGCATATACCTAAACGTTTAGAAGCTGACAACATTTTATAAGTGGCACCTGATTTTTGGGTCTAAAGCCAAAGACAAATCCACATTGAAGTTTTGGCCAGGAAATCAGGTTCCTATTGGATCTCAACCATAACATATATCATATAAATATATGCCAAGAAGTTTGCAATTCAAAATGGAAATAAAAAATTTCAAGAAAATGTTCAGAGCTAAGCACACATTGTAGCAAATCAAAATCCGGAACAAGCTCTTTCGACTCGAAACTTAACGGCTCAAATATTTTGCAAAGTTTCAATTGCAAACCAAACACTAAAGTACTAACACTTTAACCGATTCAAGAGCAGTTAAGTTGAGCCATTATCGCCCAAGGTCAAAATATAAATCTCAAATAATCTGAAAAGTTTCAATTGCGTGCAAGGAAAAACCCAAATTACTAGTAATGGGTTTCATTGTTTGTTAGCAGTTAAGTATTAGCAGCACAACCTAGCAAATTACACACAAGAATAGCCAGTAATTAACTAATTTTTTGGCATGAATTAATCTATAAAACCAATTTCAAGGAGTTAAACATAATGAAAACCACAAATTGACACTTTCATAATTCAATACCTTAGCCAATGTAAAACTTAACCGAAAATAATATTATCTTAATTTCATAAAGTAATGCAAATTCATATTACACCTAAAAAAAGTACGCAATTTAAATTAGCAATTGCTCTGGACGAGTTTTCATGTGTTGATAACGATTTACAATATCATTTTGTGGAGGAGGATGATTTAGAGAAGGCACTTTTTTAGTAAAAAAACTTGAAATATCTCGAGTGTTTTTCATTTCATTCTGAAATTGAAGTTAAAGGTTGAATTAGATAGATCAATCTAAATAATTCTTGCTAGTTTGTTACTAAGACATATAAGTATAAAGTTAAAGTATAGAACCATATAAATAAGGATAAATAGACAGCCACTCCCCAGCCCATATAAATAATTCTTCTTTAACAACTCTTAATTCTACACCCAAACAACACAACAAGAAGCTGAAAGCGTTTCTTGCAGTCAAATGGGCCATATAATGAAGTTTACCATAAAAGACATAAATTCCGAAACTCACCTTCTACAACAGCCATTAATCAAGACCAAAACTTTATTATACTTCATTAACCCAATCACTTCCCATACTTAAAAATCTCAAAACCTTTATGTTCTCAACATGTTCTTCAATCAAGCTGCAATCTCCAATTAAATCATATAAAATTGAATCTCCCAAACTACATTGCTTAACATGGCATCAAAATCAAACCAATCAAAACATACAAACAATCAACAAAGCTCAACCCGAATCCAATCATACACTATCAAGAACAACAATCCAAAATCACCCTTTAAACAACCCCTAAACTCAATAAACAAGTCTTAAGCATCACTTAAACAACTAGAAGATGAGAAGTATAAAACCATTTTATCTCAAATAATAATCACAATTTGAAAAAGTACCACAATAAAACCCTAAAAAAAGTGAAATTTTAGGAAACAAAAATGTGAAGAAAAAAAAAATCCAGAAATGAATACCAATTACTGAACCAGAAGAACTTAAAGTAATTAAAACATGAAAATATGAAATCAAATCACCAGAAATTTACAAATAAATTCAAAAAAAAAAATTGACAGAGAAAATGGTACCTCGGCAGCAAGATACTCAAGGACAGCAGAAAGATAGATAGGAGAACCAAAGCCAACTCTCTGAGCATAACGACCCTTCTTCAGGAAGCGAGCAATACGACCAACAGGAAACTGAAGGCCAGCCTTGGAGGACCGAGAAACCGACATAACGTCGCTCTTTTGCTGGCCCCTTCCACCGGTGCTTTTGACAGCGGCGCCATCTTTGCCAGCCATTTTTGCTGATTGATTTTGGAGAGGGAATTATCCAACTTCGAAAAACCCTAAATTGAGTATATAGTGATAAATCTGACAAGAAGAACGCTAAATTAGGTCAATAATTACAGAAAAAGAAGATCTAACCTTTGAGACTGCTTCAGTGGAGGAGAGAAAGCTCACAAGCCCCTTCAATGGAGATTTTCGAGTACGCTTCAGTGAAGGAGATAGAGTGGAAGCGTGTTTGTGTAATTGTGTTCTGGCCTTCTGGCTTCTGGGAGAAGAGAGACTGAGAGAGAGGAATGAGCGTGAGTCCGTGAAAAATAGATCTAATTTTTTTTTTCAAAATCAATCTTCTATGTGGGCCCTTTGACACATTAGAGACCTGTTATCTCTAATATCAGATCTCTTATGTCAAAGAGACCTGTTGTATTAGCCAACAGGTCTTTTATCATAGGTCTCTTTGACCATTTTTGTAGTAGTGTTGGATTGTTACAAGGTCACAAATTTGATGAGGAACTCCCTTCCGGAGGATTGGAAGAGGAAGTTCACCTCATACCTTCTGGACATGCTTCTTAATAGTCTTAAGGAGCTAGTCAACATGTCTTTTAGGACTCGGGACTTGAATGTTCATAATTTGACTAGTTCATTTGTGAACATGAAAATCAAGGCCCCGCAGAAAGGTTGCCTTGCCTAGGAAAGGCACCGAGTTTGGTTTAGGGTCTACAATACCAAATTAAGACCCAGTATGCCCCTCCAACCTCATGTACTTAGAATGACTAGGCTCTTCAAACACATGGAGCTACTTGGAATATCATTAGAGGATGAGTTGGCGGGTCATTAGAGGATGAGTTGGCGGCTCACTCCACCCGGGCTTTGATGCACTTAGGATGCATATGGCAGCTAGGAAGGAGTCATACTCATTGAATGAGGTACTGCAAATGCTTCGTAAGGCCGACTCCTATGGTTCTACCAAGATGCCCTTGAGAGTGAAGAAGAAGGAGTTCAAGAACAAAGCAAAGATGCGATGCTTCTATTGTGGTGGGCAAGGCCACTACAAGAGGGACTTCAAGATCTTCCAAGAAGATGAGGAAAAGAGGAATGTTCCATCTACCTCAGGTATCTTCATTAACACTTGTGTATAAGCTATTCATAGGTATTGGATACCATTTATGACTCACTTTATGCTCTTATGCAGGGACCAAATGAGAGGGCTTCACAAGTGGATGTGCAAGTGCGAGCGGACAATGAAGATGGTCCTTCCGTCATGCTTGTAGGCACATTATTTGTCTTTGGCTTGTAATAGAACTAATTTTTGTTTTATTATGTTTTGCTTACCATCGAACATATTTTGATCTATGGCGTTAGACGCCGAGTTGTTTTGATCACAAGACTATAACAATTTTTCTTTTAAATGTCTTGCTTATATGTTTTATGGGATCACACATTTTAAATGTGACTAGACAAATGTTAATGATACCACCAAAAGAGCTAAGACCGTTGAATCGAATCAAACCTACTTGTGGCATTGTTGTCTTGGCCACATTAACATCAAACGCATCAAGAAACTTCTTCATGAAGGGATTCTTGATTCATTTGACTTAGAGTCGTTTGAAAACTGCGAAAGATGCTTACTAGGCAAGATGATAAAGCAACCATTCTCCAAGTTGGGAGAAAGGGCTAGTGACTTATTGGGTCTTATACACACGGATGTATGTGGACCAATGAGCACAACCGCAAGAAATGGTTATAGCTATTTTATTACTTTCACGAACAACTTTAGTAAATATGGCTATGTCTACCTTATATCGCACAAATTTGAATCTTTTGAGAAATTCAAAGAATTTCAGAGTGAAGTGGAAAATCAGCTTGGCAAGAAAATCAAAGCACTTCGATCGGATCGAGGTGACGAGTATTTGAGCTAGGAATTTGACGATCATCTAAAAGAACATGGAATTCTCTCAAAATTGACACCTCTCGAAACTCCACAATGGAATGGAGTGTCCAAAAGGAGAAATCTAACTCTGTTAGACATGGTTCGATCAATGATGGGTCTTAGCAATCTTCCTATCTCTCTCTAGGGACACGCACTTCTAACCTCGGCAGTTACACTGAACCGCGCTTCGTCAATAGTTGTCCAAAAGACTCCATATGAAATATGGATGAAGAAACCTCCACGGTTGTCTTTTCTTAAGGTTTAGGGTTGTGAAGCATATGTCAAAAGACTCATATCTGACAAGCTTGCACCAAAATCTGACAAGAGTTTCATTGTGGGCTATCCAAAAGAAACAAAGGGGTATTACTTCTACAACCAATCTAAGAACAATATATTTGTTGCTCGAGATAGTGTCTTTTTTGGAAAAGGAGTATCTTTCCAAAATGACAAGAGGGAGGAAAATCGAACTTGATGAAGTTCGAGAAGGTGAGCAACAAATTCAAACTGACAAAACTGATTATCAAAGTGCTTTGGAAGTACCGTTGAAGATGGTCAAAGTAAAAATGACAAAGCAAATGCTCAATCTATTACCCTACATAGGTCGCAAAGGCCAAGATCTCAACCAGAAAGATACCTCGGTGTTGTCTTAACCGAGAATCAAGACATCCTGGTTATGGATGAAGATGAGCTAGCAACATACAAATAAGCTATGAAGAGCCATGACTCTGCAAAATGGCAAGAAGCCATGAAATCCGAGATGGACTCCATGTTTGAAAATCAAGTCTCCGACTTGGTTGATTTGCCCGAAGGTTACACACCTATCGGTTGCAAATGGATTTTCAAGTTGAAAACCGACAAAGATGGAAATGTATATGTTTACAAAGCTAGATTGGTGGCAAAAGGTTACAGGCAAATTCACGGCGTTGGTTATGATGAAACCTTTTCGTCAGTCTCCATGCTTAAGTTTGTCTGGATTATCATAGCAATTGCCGCATATTTTGATTATGAGATATGGAAAATGGACGTCAAAACTGCCTTCCTTAATGGGATTTTGGAAGAAACTGTGTACATGACATAGCCGGAAGATTTTGTAGATCCAACCAATGCTGGGAAGGTGTGGAAGCTTAAGAAGTCCATTTATGGACTAAAGCAGACAAGTAGAAGTTAGAATCTGCGATTCGATGTAGCCATTAGTGAGTTTGGTTTTATCAAAAATCCAGATGTGTCTTGTGTTTACAAGAAGGTCAGCGGGAGTGACATCGCATTCCTTGTCTTATATGTCCATGACATATTGCTCATTGGAAACAACATTCCAATGTTGGAGTCTGCAAAGGCTTGGCTTGGAAAGTGTTTCTCAATGAAGGACTTGGGAGAGGCACAATACATATTGGGCATCAAAATCTATAGGGATAGATCTAAGAAGATGATTGGATTGAGCCAAATAAAACTATGATTTTTACGAATCAAGGTTTACTCAAATCAAGAGTTGCCTTTTAATTCCACTCAAGGTTGTTTCTTTCCCAATACCCATGCCTTTGGTATTTATAGGGAAAGGCACCCTTGATTTCCAATCTCCCATCAATGTGGGAGAGTTGGTAAATTCAACAATTTATTTAATTCCAAATTAAATAAATAATTAAATTAATCACAATGCAACAAGTGTCAAGGGGAGAGAGAGAGTTAGGTGATGGCCAAAGGTTTAGGGGGGACCATTGCCTTGATCCCCAAGATATTTCTCCAAGCAATGGTCCCCTCATCCAAAACCGCCTCAAGCAAGGGCTGCTAGGCTGGTAGCCAGCTAGCACGCCAACTAGCAGTGCCAGCTAGCCCAGCCAGCTAGCACCAGCCTAGCCAGCAGCCTCGCATCCGAGCCAACATATGCGTATTGGCGCTAGGCGATGCTTGTGCTGCTGGTGCGTGCCAGTGCTAGGCGCTGCTAGCTACTGGCGCTGGCCCCTTGCCTCACTCGCCATCACACACGCACTGCCCCTTTCGCACTTCCCAGCATGCGTGCTGCTAGCGAGCCACGCATGGTGGGCATCGCCTCGCTAGCCACACGCACAAGCATGCGAAGCTTGGTGTTGTGATGCTGCGATGGCTTGCGATGGCCCCTAGGTATAAGCACACGCACACGCACACAAGGCCCAGCATGGTGCTGCTGTGCGAGGCTACTGCTGCGATGGTGCCTACGCACACACACACGCACAAGGGTGCTGTGCTTGGTGCGTGGCCTGCGATGGTGCAAGGCACACTATGGCCTGCGATGGTGCGAGGCATGCACACACACACACATGCACCAGTGCCCAGCACTGCGATGGTTGTGCTTGGTGCGTATGGCCTGTGATGGTGCCTAGCACCCAGGCACGCATGCTGCGATGCAGTGCCATGCGAAGGCACGCATATGCGCAACTATGCTGCTGCGATGGTGCCTAGGCTTGTGCCTAGCACGCATGGTGCGCCTAGCACACCATGGTGCACCTAGCACATACATGGTGCGCCTAGGCTTGCGATGAGCTAGCCTAGCCTAGCTATAGCTATGCTCGTACTTGTTGCTTGTGATTTTGCGACGCTCGGTCTCGACGCCCTAGGCTCGATATCCGACGTCTATATTCGTAAAACTCCGTCGACTCATTAAATCCTTCGGATTAATTCATCGTCTCGGATCGGTTGTTCGATTAGGTTCGACCCAAGGGGTTCAGTTAAGATTAAGCTGTAATATTAATTGTACCTTAATATTACTGATCGGAAGCGGCCTCCACCTAGGCATTCCGATCACTTGACCTTACTGAAGAATTAGCTCTTTAATAATTCTGAACCCTCTATCAGAATAATACACTTGTTGGAAGGACACCATTCCTTTCAATCTCCCACTTGTCCTTCCGGACAAGTGTGCATATAGTGTATAGCCCATTACCTATGTCGCTTAATGTCTCTTTGTGAACTATAAGGTAAGATTCATCGTCATCCTTATTACGTTCAGAAGTGTTTCTCGATCTCCGAGTTCGACTGTCAATAAGCAGATGATTTCTAAAATCCATCTGAGCACGACCATGCATTTTCACAGTCTCGCTCATCGAGCGGCCTTGTAAACAACAAAGACATATTCCTTGTTGTTAATAGGGGGACATTCCTAGTCTTGCATTGTAAGTTTCTCTTACTAAGAAGACTTAATCTCTCGAGTGTTCCCATTATGATCCCCAGTTATGGCAGACGTTAGGCAACATCAAAGAGATTAGTTCTCGAACAAGAAAACTTCACAATTCTCATGGTCGAGGAAACGATTTCTGATAGCTATAATGAGAAATGTACTTATGACAATTTGAATCTCTTAAAGTACTCTCATAGGTCGATTCAGTGCAGTTTCAAACTGGCACCTGTGCAAATGATTTATGACCATCATGTCCTTGCAGCACAAGAAACGGTGCTGTAAATCATACTACACACTAATCTCTGGTGGTCATCAATCGTCCATCAGTTAGATGACCTCGATTA